CAGCTGTGTATCTCTGTAATGCTTTTTTCTTGCGTTCTGTCTCTCCCGGGACCAGACATAGCAGAAAATTGGACTACGTCCTCGAATCTCGGTCGGGAACCCGGGTGGGACGGGAGTGATTGGGCACGTTTCCTTATATCTGATGCCTTTGAGCCCCCCCCCCCCTAGCAGCATAGTCCGGGAGTATATTGGTAAGCTGTATATATTGTTTAGTCCGGGAGTTAAGCAATTGTTGTGGCTTGCATTCCGGGGAATTCACTCTTGTATGGAGGGGACTTGGATAAGAGCGCTTACACGCTTTAAAAGCGTGTAAGCGTAATGTACACGCTTTCTGGCCCTGTCAACGAGAATTACCTTAGTTACTGGGCTTAGTCGAATTCGATACTACACATTTTATAATATTTTCATTATCCACTTTGAATATAGGAAAATTTAAGTCTTCTTTGAATAGTGGAAAATTTAAGTCTACTTTGAATTGTAACACTCGACCTTACTTGGTCACTGTAACCTACTTGGTCAACTCTAGTAACTCTTGATTGAAGTGACCCTTGGCATACTAGTTAGTGTAACACTTATAAGGGATGCTCTCGGACGCAGGTTCGAATCCTCGTCACAGCCCTTGTGGATTTCTTTGCACAAGTGTGGATGTTTATCCAATAGACGGAATATGCTAGATAGATCTTAGTGTCTCCATCCTCGCACTCATTGCAAGGAAATCATTCACGAACTAATTATATCATTTGAAGAAAATCTATAAACTTATAAATGATGTACAATTGATATCATTTAGAAATACATCAAATAATATATGTTAAACAAAATATATATATATATATATATATATATATATATATATATATATATATATATATATATATATATATAATATCCTACAGGATATATACAGGATCCTACATCAACAGGATCCTGTTGAATCTGTTGATGTAGGGTCCTGTTGAATCTGTTGATGTAGGGTCCTGTTGAATCTGTTGATGTAGGGTCCTGTTGAATCTGTTGATGTAGGGTCCTGTTGAATCTGTTGATGTAGGGTCCTGTTGAATCTGTTGATGTAGGATCCTGTTGAATCTGGCATTACAATACAAGCTTTCAGATTGTTAGGTGATTGCCTAACAAGTTAGGTTTAGTTTGCTCACTTTATGCCTAGTATGTAAGTTTGATTTAGGCTACTGTAAACCTGTTTAGTCCAATGTTGTAATGATTTGTACAAGTTGTTACCAATTAAGGTTATGATTGTGGTAAGGAGAGGGTCTCCTTGTTGTTGTTGTGACTTCTGTAATTAATGAACTGTATTTTGTGTAAACTGTCGCAATTATAATGTACAACCATTTATGAATAAAGCCTTTGACTTGATTTGTTCAGATTCCTGAGCCTATTGGGCTCTTTATCATATCTACACTTGAAACTGTATTTAGTTTGCCTCCACTACATCACTCTCTAGTGATGTTAACTATTTGTTAACTACTCTGACACCGAAAACGATTGTTTCTAACGTCTCTGTGGCTAATTTGGGGACATAGTTTCCACCTGTCTTTCCTAGTTCGTGCATCACCCGTGCTAACTAGTTTGTCTTAATCGACCCTGTCAATTCCTCAGACATTAGTAATGCATGTTTACACTTAATGATGCTAATTTACTTAGGAGGTTGATACTGATGGCTGTGAAAGATATTGCAGACGTTGCTTCTTGATAGTGATAATGAAAGATGGCTGGTTAATTGTTGGAAAGATGTGCATGTGCCGTTTGGAAGATGGTGTGCGTAGATCAGAAAACAGGATCGGGCAGAATACAGAGCCCTGTGGGACTCCGCAGGTGACATCTCGCCATTCTAAGGCCTTCCCATCACAGTAGCTCTGCTTTTGTTGTTGTTGCTGCTTAGGCACTCCCTTCTAGTGTGTATACTCACCTATTTGTGCTTGCAGGATCGAGCATTGACTCTTGGATCCCGCCTTTCCAGCCATCGGTTGTTTACAGCAATGACTCCTGTCCCATTTCCCTATCATACCTAATTCTGTGTGTGTGTGTGTGTGAGAGCGGGGGATGGGGGTGCACGTGTCGGTAAAATATATTCGCCAAACTCGGCTGGGAAAGTCAGTGGAGAGACACAAAGGTAACCACAGAGTGGGAGCGGGGAAAATAGGTGACCTCCACTCTCCTCCGTGAGTCACCAGGCAAATGTTACAGAATGGCGAGTCCTCGACACCAGCAAATATTACAGAATACTGATCCCTTCTGCGCTTGAGACACCTGGCCTCGCGCACCTGGCCTCGCGCACCTGGCCTCGCGCACCTGGCCTCGCGCACCTGGCCTCGCGCACCTGGCCTCGCGCACCTGGCCTCGCGCACCTGGCCTAGCGCACCTAGGGCCAGATTCACGAAAAATGTTTCAATGTTTTCAAAAACTTCAGTTTTCAGTTTTATAATACACTACTATAATTTTAGCAAGATGGGCTGCAATGACGTTGATTGACTGTTACTGTTGTTGTTGTTATAGATTCAGCTACTCGGAACAAGTTCCAAGTAGCACGGGCTATGGTGAGCCCGTAGTGGACTTACCTGGCACAGGAGCGGTGCCTGTGGACTGATACTCGAGCAGCTGTTGCCTATTGGGGAAGATAATGGGGAAGAAGGGAAGGGAGGGGGAAGAGGCAAGAGGGAGGGTAGTTATATTCGACATGTGGGCTTTCGGGCCGCTGGAAACAACAGCCTAACGGAACATGCAGGTGTAGCAGATGAAACAAAAATCAGCATGAAATTTGCCACTGTAGAATACACTGAAAGACTACAAGGCAGATATAAATAAAGTTTTCGATTGGGCAACTGAAAATAACATGATGTTTCACGGTGATAAGTTCCAGGTGGGCTGAACATAGGATTGATCAGAGAACACTGTATAAACATCAGAGGTCCGCGGTTGTTCAACGTCCTCCCAGCGACTATAAGAAATATTGCCGGAACAACCGTGGACATCTTCAGGAGAAAACTAGATTGTTTTCTTCAAGGAGTGCCGGACCAACCGGGCTGTGATGGGTATGTGGGCCTGCGGGCCGCTCCAAGCAACAGCCTGGTGGACCAAACTCTCACAAGTCAAGCCTGGCCTCAGGCCGGGCTTGGGCAGTAGAAGAACTCTCAGAACCCCATTAACCAGGTATCAACCAGGTACTGAGGTAGGGTGTAAACGAGGAACTTAAACGGAGCACAGGGTACAGGACACACTCAGACCAACTTATAGAAGGAAAGCAAGATCTGGGAAATTATGTGTAAAAGTTATTATTAACTATTAATTAATAGTTATTATTATGTGTAAAATTATTGTGTAAAGATCTGGGAATTATGATGTTTGACGACCTGACATTTAGTGAACATAACCGAGCAAATATAGCGGCGGTCACAAAAATGGATACCTGGTTGATACCTGGTTGATGGGTTCCTGGTAGTTGTTCTACTCCCCAAGCCCGGCCAGAGGCCAGGCTTGACTTGTGAGAGTTTGGTCCACCAGGCTGTTGCTTGGAGCCGCCCGCAGGCCCACATACCCACCACAGCGAAGGAATGAATTATGAAAACGTTCAAATCCAGAGACGCCACAGCAATGCTAACACTATTTAAGTCACTGGTGTTGTCCCGTCTTGAGTACTGCTCGGTACCGTTTCAAAATGTACTATGTGGAAAGGAGACGAGAAAGGTATCAAATAATATACTGTCTGAACATTAGAGGTTCACAGGTGTTCAACACCCTCCCAGCAAGCATTATAAATATTGCTGGAACAAAGGTGGATGTATTCAAGAGGCACTTAGATAAGTTCTTGCAAAAAGTGCCGGACCAACCAGGCTGTAATGGATATGTGGGCCTGCGGGCCGCTCCAAGCAACAGCCTGGTGGACCAAGTTACCACAAGTCGAACCTGGCCTCGAGCCGGGTTTGAAGAGTAGAAGAACTCCCGAAACACACTCCAGGTATGTTCCAGGTAACATGGTATCACTAAACAAGGCTTTGAAACTAAAAATAAACAAAAACTCGCGAAACCTACTACAGGTATAATACAGATCCTTCACTTCTGAAAACTGCCTTCTTTCTCCGTCACCTGTTATTTATTTGCATTTGTCAGGGATGAAGTTAAAGGGCCAGCTAGCTGGTCGACTAACGCAGCCTAGCGCAGCTGTTAAATATTTCCTACGACAGAAATTTGGGTTAATTTGTAAATTTCAAATGTCAGTCCAGATGTGAGAGGAAATGGAACGGTTACCGTGTGTGTGTGTCAATTATTACCTTTTACAAATTTTACAATTTCGACCAGATCTCACAGTTGGTCGTCTGGTCCACATTACTTGATATATTGACATGTATTTTATTTTGTTATAACTTTCGTTGTTAACGTTATATTCTGTGAACATTGCTTAAAACATGACACGTTATCTTACTGACCTGTGGCCAGATTCAGGAAGTAGTTACACAATCACTTACGAACCTGTACATCTTTTCTCAATCTTTGGCAGCTTTGTTTACAATTGTTAAACAGTTAATGAGCTCCGAAGCACCAGGAGGCTGTTTATAACAATAACAACAGTTAATTGACAAGTTTTCATGCTTGTAAACTGTTTAATAAATGTAACCAAAGCCGTCAAAAATTGAAGAAAGATGTACACGTTCGTAAGTGCTTGCGTAACTGCTTCGTGAATCTGGCCCCTGTGCTTTATTTAACCTTTATCATGCGTATGAGTTTACATCAAATGTGCCTCAGATTATATATGTTGTTTTATGCCCGAAACGCTTTGCGTAATAGTGGCTTTAGGCATTGTATGTACTAGCTCTACCTATAAGTCAACCAATCCTTGTATAAATTTATTGTATGTATGTACCTTACCTAAATAAAATTGTATTGTATTGTATTTTCTATAAACTTTGATGTCTTGTATGTGTGTGTGCTTTTTAATTAAGTCTGCGGTAATGTTTACAATGTAATTAACAAGTTTGTGTGGTTCTCAGGAGCTGGAGTTCCACGGGGTGATGCGGTTCTACTTCCAAGACTCCGGGCAGAAGGTGGCCACGAAGTGCATCCGGGTCCCCAGCACCGCTAACTCCCGCTACGTCATTGAGACGCTGGTCGAGAAGTTCCGGCCGGATATGCGCATGCTCTCCATCCCCGAGTACGCGCTCTACGAGATACACGAAAACGGAGGTGAGTGATTGATTGGTTGGTTGATCAAGCCTCCATAAGAGGTTGCACGGGCATGAATAGCCCCGTAGGTGGTTGCTAGTTTTAATGTGAAAAACGTGTGTCACGGGTTTCTAACTTTGTGTTATGCTACTTGGCTAAAATGGTTATTGTTGCCCATAAGGAGGTCTCCAAGTGATTGAATTTGCTGGTAGACTTGAGAGTTTATAGTTTGAGAAATAAATATCCAACAACACAACCTTTCAGTCCGGTAATTATATATGGTTTTTGACCAGTTTCGTAATCTGGCGCCAGTTTCATTGCTACGTCATTTACATATACAGTATTTACATAATACCTGCTTGATGGGGTTCAGGGAGTTCTACTCCCCAAGCCCGGCCTGAGGCCAGGCTTGACTTGTGAGAGTTTGGTCCACCAGGCTGTTGCTTGGAGCGGCCCGCAGGCCCACATACCCACCACAGCCCGGTTGGTCCGGCACTCCTTGAAGAAAACTATCTAGTTTTCTCTTGAAGATGTCCACGGTTGTTCTGACATGTAATGAGGCATGAAGGTTCTTGTTTTTGTGATTGGTTTGTCATAACTGTGAACATATTGCTTTACAGATGAACGTCGACTGGCGGATGATGAGAAGCCGCTGTTGGTGCAGTTAAACTGGAACAAAGATGACCGGGAGGGCAGGTTTCTCCTTCGGCGGATGGACCTCTACAACTTTGGCTTGTCTTATGAGGTAACGTTAAGTGTGAGGGCCGCGGAGTGTCTGGATGAGAGGGAACCGGAGTGTCTGGATGAGAGGGCCCCGGAGTGTCTGGGTAACGTCTACTAACGTTCCTCTCCTTCTTCCATGTTCATTGATTTATCTACTTTAATAGTTGCGTAAATATTCTTAACTTGATGCGTAATGTTCGTATACTTTCGGTACAAAGATTACCTGTGAGTGAATGTGTACGATGGATAATGTGCAAACAAAGTGCACAATGGATAATATCCACACACAAGCTTTAAGGTTTTCAGTTTTTATCTAAATGATATTTGAGTAGCCTAATTATAGTACTGTATATTGATTTATTAAATGGGATGGAATGGAACTATCAGAAGGCGCCAAGCCATTACGACTATATAGCACTTGGAAGGGGCCAGTATTTCTCTTAATACTGACAAACATTGGTACTCCATGATTACACTAAATGATGCTAATTTACTTAGAAGGTTGATACTAATGACTGTGAAAGGCATTACAGATTTTTTCTTGATAGTGCTGGAGATGATGAAAAATGATGGTCAATTGTGGCAAAAGTCTACATGTGCACTCAACAAAATAGATGTCAGAAAAGTGGTCCAGGTACATTTCTAATGAGCAATGAGTCGACACCATCCTGAGTTACTTACCCGAAACACTGTGCATATTAGTGACTCTAGGCATAGTATGTACTAGTTCTATCTAGAAATCCAACATTCTGTTTGTAACTCATCTTGTATGCATGTACTTTTTACTTGAATAAACAATTATTATTTATAAGGGTACTAAGAATTTTTGAGGCTGCAATGGCATTGATAACAAGCCTGGTCTGTAGCAAGTAACTTTGCTCTGTTACCACTATAAGATAAACATTGAGAATGGAGAATTAGCATGGATGCAGGGGTGGGTGTAAACAGGCCATCTACATGCACTAACTAATTAAAAGTCCCACTGATGCCTATTATCTCTTGAGTGCAGGCAGGAGAGAGAATAATTTACATGTGGAAAATAGTAGAAGGGCTGGTCCCAAACCTGTACACAGAAATAACATCACATGAGACCAGAAGGCATGGCAGGATGTGCAGAATACCCCTCATTGAAGAGCAAAGGAGGAATAGGTACTCTGAGAGAGAACAATATCAACATCAGAGGCCCGAGACTGTTCAACATGCTTCCACTACACATAAGGGGCATAACTGGCCGACCCCTCAGTGTTCAAGAGAGAACTGGATAAGCACCTCCAAAGGATACCTGATCAACCAGGCTGTGATTCATACATCAGGCTGTGAGCAGCTGTGTCCAACAGCCTGGTTGACCAGTCCAGCAACGAGGAGGCCTGGTCGACGACCGGGCCACCGGGACGCTAAACCCCGAAAACACATCAAGGCAACCTCGCCTCTCATCCCAAGTGATTCTTGACTCTGATCCTTGGTGGTACAGGCAGGATGTGTTTCAATAATTGAGGCATTTCTATATCTACACCCATTTTTCTCACAATGTCTACATAAACACCTAGGCAATATGCTGAACATTTACTACATCATGCTGAACACACACTGGAAGCAAGCACTTGTGCATGGCTGTAAGAATACTAAATGAATACTAATAAACGTCTTGAGGACCACTCCAGTCACTTTCTGATAAACATATGATGATTTATATAATATCTGTAACTAGTATTTTGCTTTTAATGAGATATTCATGCTTATTTTAAGAAATTAACAAGCAAAATCAAATGGATACCTTCAGTATTTAGAAATAAGAGGTTTAAATAATCCTGCGACCCCCACCCTGAGTAAATTCTTGGGTTTGTTACGGGCATTTAGGTTGTATGGCTTCTGGAAGGATGAGAATGCCTGTGTAAGACATGATAACCAAGAGGTCTGCTCAGGCTGGGTGGTGGGCCTCAGAGCTGTGGGGAACAGTCTCAACATAACCACAATGTAACCTCAGGTTGTGGAAGTGGGGAGCTCCAGCCACTGTTGAGGGGGTGGGAAGGGGGGAGGTATTCCTAGAACAAAGTCGATGACTTCAAGGTTTTAAATTCTGTTGAACCTCATTTATTTGGACTGGTCAGGACCAGAGACTTCACACTGATTTTGTTGTTAAATTGGTAGCTCATCTTTGCAGCTGAATACACACCCAGTCATATTGTATTTCTTATAAATATACTCTTATTAACTACTTTTCTGCATGTAAAATCGGTACAAACATGTATGCCACCATAGTCATCACTACCCCACTTCCTGCTTTTATGTGGTGGGAAGATATTATGATGGAAGAAATTGTAGAGTGAATGTAAAAAGATACATTCAAAAAGAGACATTCCATCCACTCAGTTTTATTATAAAAGTCTCCAAGAGCTAAAATTGAAAGGCCACTACTAAGAGTGAGTAGTGTGCACATATATTTTGAATGGTGTGAGAGGAAAATAGTGAGAGAGGAACTAATACTGACCTGCACCACTCCTGGTATTAGTGTGGGCGGGTGGCAGTTCTGGGAACTCCTGTCCGGGTGATGAGTGTGACGGTTGCTTATCATCAGTAAATATCTGACTCATCTTGAGATGCTGTGATTGCAGCACAACACAGTGGCTTGCTTATAATTGACTGTTTACATGTTTGCAATGTAACAGTAAAATAATATGTTTTAAATGTACTTAATGTGTACTAATTCACATTAGAATCATGACTAATGAATTAAATAAAGCAGGTTTTGCAATGCAGAGTAGGTGTAAAATTAGCTACCTGAACATTCCAAATATTGTACTACTGTATATAGAATTATATAATACACTTTAGATACATGGATGTAGTTTTGCTTTCGAGATAAAATGCTAATTATTTGGCACAAAACCTTTACTTAAGAAGGCTTAGAAAGTGATTTATAAGATTAAATTAATTAAATTGTGATGATAATTTTTCCCTTAGCAGACCTAAAAGTCTCGACCTAATCACAATGTACTTTTGCAGGGTGGTTCTACATTAGTCAACACTCTACCCCCTCACCCTACCACACCCATACCAACCAAAGAGCAGCCATTCCAGCGTAAATTATCCAAACGTGAGAAAAAAGAACTTAAGAAGCAAGAGAAACTGCGTAGAGCAAACGAAGCAAATGAAGCCGACTCGTCAGTGGCAGAAAAATTATATACAGGTTTGTTTGACTTGCAAGAATTATCAGTACAGTATAGGCATCACTTTGTAGAATTTAATACAAAGTTTCTACGGGTATTATTCTTTTGCCTAATGGATATTTTGTGGTGAGGCATATAGTGTAGTTTTACACTACACACAGAAATCAATAGCGTGATGCATCAAATGAACAAATCCACAAAGGCCATGATGAGGGTTCGAAGCTACGCCCAGGAGGATCCCAGAAGCTGCCTTAATCGACTGAACTACGACATGGTTAAAAGAATTACTGACCTCTTATAAGGTCAGTAGAACTTCTGGTTGCAATTCTTTTAACCATGTCGTAGCTCAGTCGATTAAGGCAGCGTCTGGGATTCTCTCGGATATAGGTTCGAACCCTCATCACGGCCCTTGTGGATTTGTTCAATGTAGTTTTGTTCTTTGTCAGTCCTTTTGTCATAAAAATATTCTGGAGAAATCATTAATGATTTTTTCTTCTGGTATTTGATATGGAATCCTGCCTGTAGGTTGTGCCATCACTGAAAGGCGTTACAACATAGTATCCAATAATCATGGTTTGTAGAAAGTACTGTATAGTCTGCAATGGATTTCAGTTACCATATATTTCCAGTTATTACAACTTCAGTGATAAAGATGGCAAAATACATCAGTTTTACTTGTATTATGACCAGTGAATAATTTGTAACTTATAACTTATTACTGTTTGTCTGAATATTTTCTTGAAATCCTTCTGTTAGGTTATTGATAAGGCACGATTTTTAGTAAAAAAAAAATTGCATTGTATGTATATACAGTATTTCCGTACTTGATGCAAGATTGTGGCCTAAATTGTGGGGCATGTTAACTTGGCACCTGCCTCGTGATATTATGTACTACAGTACACAACACACCTGCTAATGATTGTAATTGTGGTTTGGAAAAATAAGACTTTGAGGACTTGTGAAAAGCGGCTTTCTGAGCAGAATTCTCGGTGGCTCTCTAAGGTGTGATCCTGCCTTATTCTACTGGACTAGATTACGGAAATTCAGGGCAGTTTGATATTCTGCTTTGGTGCAACAGTAATCTTTTTTAAATATCCCAGTAAAGTTTTAATTGTGCTAGGGAAACACTGAAGAGTTTATCCAGGTTTGAATAACCTCTTATAAGTCCAGTCAAATAAATTTCAAGTCCTTCAAACCCCTACTTGGCATCATAGAGACCACCAAGTGTCACTCTCACTATCTGCCACATTGATCGTTACTTCATTGCCACAAACCACCACTAGACAAGTGCACCACCATCAAAATGGGATCTTTTAACAAGAGCCTCATGTTCTTCTTGATGCAAATGACATCTCTTTTCATGGGAAGCAGGGTCACAAAGGATGCAATAGGAGCAATCAAGTGTCCTGCTCAGAAAGAGGCTTTTCATACACATGCAAATGCAAAGCTTTGAGCTTTTCCAATCAAATGCTCCCTAAGAAAAAATGCAAAATAAAAAAAAAGTTAAATTTCCAAACAAGAAAATAAAAAAAAATAGATGAGACTAACCTGTGCATCAAAAGTCCCTGAAGAAGCAGAACGAAAGAAGGCAGCAAAAATAGTGTAATAAAAAAGCTCCACATAAAGGCATCAAACCCCAGTCAGAATTTGAGGGGCTTACCTGAACAGGTAAGCCCAGTGCAACTCACAACCAGTACAGATAGGTAATGAGAAAGAGGAACCTGGCTGCAAATGTGCTGTGAAAATTTCACTTCCATAATTTCCTTCCAAGCTCTGATGATGGAACTGGATATCAGAGATCGCCCATCAGTGTCGCATGGTGCACACTCTTGAAGATATCACAGATCTGGATATCACAAAGATCACCATCAGTGTCACATGTCGTGCACTCTTGAAGTTATACATGCAGTTAACTCGGGTCAACCACTCTTACAAACCAGCTGAGAAGTAGGGTATGAACCATCATTTAGGCAAAGGTTAATATAAACGAGACTTGGCCCTGTTTCTGTTGAGAAAACAGATGTACAGAGCTAGAGCTTGCTGACCTGCTATTTAGTTATGAAAATCAACAGAAATAGTTTGCTTGAGGTCCTTAAAGAACAACAACCTTGGTTGTTGAAGTTACCTTGAGGTGTTTTCGGGACTTAGCGACCCCGCGGCCCGGTCGTTGACCAGGCCTCCTTGTTACCTGACTGGTCAACCAGGCTGTTGGACGCGGCTGCTCGCCCATAAGAAGCTCATAATCAGTGGACACACCATCACTTGAATTAGAGACTAGGCTAGGGAAGTTCTAACTGAAACAGCGATATAGTGGCTCCACAGGACCAGATGAGAGGAAGCTACCATGATAAACAAAAGCTAAATATCTGTGAAGAGTAACATAAGGAAAGAAATGCATCAGAAGAAAAATGACAGAACACAAGATCCAATTAGATTAAGAAAGCAAATGAAGGCTGAACTGGTAACAGGAAAGGAATAAACTCCACAACCTACCATGCAATAAGGCATCCAAATTGTCAAGAGTCAAATTCCACCCCATAAAATCAGGTGGGGCCTTAGTGCCAAGTCTCTCATGACAGGTTGGTTTATGACAGGTTAGTTTGCATTGTTGCACATTAGTATAAGCCAACAGGTCTCCAGTTTCTGAATGTTAATGCAAGCTCACTGTCCCCCTTTAAACCAATGCACCTAACCCAAGAGGTGAAGACGGGAGACCACAAATGTGGTGAGAAACTCTAAGTATCGAGTGAGGTGATGGAGAATATAGTGTTAGATGTATATCAGATGGCATGGCTGGAGAACAGAGTTCTGGGTAACTAAACTAAAACCATCATAGTTCCTATGTTTAAGGAAAAGGCACTAGGAAAGAATGTGGGAACTATTGGGAGATTAGCTTACTTAGTATTCCAGGAAACGTGTATGCAATGTTAAACATTAAGAGAACAATATGTAGGATAGGGAAGGAGAAAGAATGTAATTAGTAAGGAGAGGTACTGCATATAGGTTGGATTTTTTTGAGTTTTTTCTTTTTTAATTTATAACAAAAGGGAGAAAGTTGTATGCTGGCTTTCAGATTTATAAAATACTTTTGATAATGACCTTGAAGCATTGTGGGAGATTTTGAAGATCTGTGGGATGGGAGGCACTTTATTGATGGCAGTGAAGTCATTTTGTATAAATAGCAGAACATGGATGAAAATGGTGATAAAAATAGGCGAGGATTTTAATTTGGGGTTATAAGACAGAGTTGTTTAATATCCACCTAGTCTCCCACTGTTTCCTTCCCAAGCTTACATCCTGATCAGGTTATATTGCACCCAAAACATTAGACATGTAGCAACCATACCATACTACAGTCATTTAACACGGGTGATACATGCACAAGGGGACACAGGTGGAAGCCGAGTACCCAAATGTGCCACAGATATATTAGAAAAAACTTATTCAGTGTCAGAGTAGTTAGTAAATGAAATGTACTAGGAAGTGATGTGGTGGAGACTGACTCCATACACAGTTTCAAATGTAGATATGATAGAGCTCAAGAAGCTCAGGAATCTGTACACCAGTAGATTGATGAATGAGGCAGGACCAAAGAGCCAAAACTCAACCCCCTCAAGCACAACTAGGCGGGTACCATGTGCTGCTCTCACACCTAACTCATCACCTGTTAGCCTTATTATGACAATTAACTTCCAAGTGATAAGATGTAAATGTAGTATAATACTAAAATTACTGGGACCATCTCAAAGCACTCAACATGTTCTCACTGGAAAGGAGACAAGAAAGGTATCATCCAATATATACATTGAAGCTATTTAAATGTAGGACCCAAACATACTGGAGCCCAAAGTGTGATAAAAATGACGAGTATGGGCAGTGAAGAGTAGAGGAGTCGTAATCACAATTAGAGAATACAGTATGATTATTAAATGCTCATAGCTCTTCACCCTTCTTCCATCAAATAAAAGAAATATTGTCAGAACAACAGTAGATGATTTCAAGAGGTACTTGGAAAAGTTCCTGCAGCAAGTGCCATATCAACCAGGTTGTAACACAATTGTGGGCTGCTGCTGCAAGCAACAGTCTGACTGTTCAAGTTATTGTCAGATAAGCAAGGCAGAGGCCAGTCTTGGGCAGTCAAAGAACTCTCAAAACTTATTTTACAATATAGATAAAGAAGCCAATTGTCAGTGTAAACTACCAGAATACTAACTATCAAGTGTCAGCTGTGTGCTATGTCAGTATAGGGATGGTGGTGTTAGCAATCCATACTTAAATTCCAGGGGGCCAGATTCATGAAGCAGTTACGCAAGTACTTAGGAATGTTTACATCTTTCCTCAATCTTTGATGGCTTTGGTTACATTTATTAAACAGTTTACAAGCATGGAAATGTCCCAATCAACTGTTGTTATTGTTTTAAACAGCCTCCTGGTGCTTCCGAGCTCATTAACTGTTTAATAATCGTACACAAAGCCGCCAAAGATTGAGAAAAAATGTACAGGTTCGCAAGTGGTTGCGTAACTGCTTCGTGAATCTGGCCCCAGGACACTGAAGTACGTGCGGAAAAACAAGACCATAAGAACAGGAACAGCAGTTACTATGTATCTTGATGATTTGTTTCTCTGACAATATCGTTTACATTTTAATTACCTCTTTGTAATTACTGTAGTTTTAAAATTAAAGTTTTATTTACACATCATTTCAGAGTTACCAGAAACAAGTTTCACACGTAGCATCAGTAATCCTGAGGCTGTGATGAGACGAAGAAGAGCTCAGAAACTGGAGAAAAAACTGCAACAGTTCCGAAGTAAAGATGGTGGGCCTGATACAGGTGGCACTCTGAAGGTAAGCACATGCATGAGAAGATACACAGAGAATTCTCTTAACCATCGCACTGCACACCTGGTTTCGGTAAAAACTTGATAGTTCAATTGTCAAAGACATATTTTTATTTTTTTATAAATGTTCAGGTAAAGTTAATGTCAATGTTTCCAAACTCAACCATTTTCATTGCAAAACACAGAGTGATGAAAACATTATAAAACATTAGAATATTGCCTAATTAAAAAAATAGCACAGCTCTCAGAGTGCCTTAGGGCGCTCTGCGAAGTACAGTGGTTAAAAGCTGAGAAAATATTTATTGCTCATTACTACCTAATGTGAATAGATTAAATGTGATTATGCTTAATAAAGATTTGAAGGAAGAATTTACCCAGATAAATTGCTGGTTACATCAGCAAATTAGCCAATATGTACTAAGAATGTAATTACTGTACCTTACATGTATTTCTTAACTTTATATTCTGCATATAGTACTGCATTTTGAAATTTGAATTCTTCCTTAAAGCTGTCTGCATATATGTATAATACATTACTAACATATTGTATTAACACAGTGTTTCTAATAATTAATAAGATTGAAATCCTCGTTGCATTACAGTATGTCACTTAATTCACATTTTATTTTCCATTTCTGGGAGGGCCCCTCAGTAGTTCGCCAAGCTTAACTCTGGCTCTCAATATGAAGTGAAGTAATCAGACATCAACCACAAAACTAGGAAAAATACACCAAAAACACAGGTGTAACCAAACGAGCATCTTCTTGAATGATATTAGGCACCCGTGAGGTAAACAAAACAAATGATTGTTGCTGTGGGACAAGTACCCTAACCATGCTGTGCACAACTGCCACCAGGAGAACCCAGACCACATTCTTCCACCTAGTACATTTGTTCAATACCTGTAGCCTCTTCTAAGTCTGTCATCTGCATCTTGTTTTCAGTTAAGTGATGCTGGATTTGCTTGGAACATTCATTCATCAATGGGTCATTCATTGCGATTTCTATTTACTGATTTAAGATTATGTTCATGCTACCCATCACATACGTGTTCTAGCATTCCATATTGCTTCAACTGAAGCTAGTATTATATTCTCTGGAGTTTGCTTCTCTCTCCTTGTACTCCACCAGAGATACCTTCAGGGGTATTGCCGACTTCCTGCTCTAGAGGCCGTCTCCTCTCAGAGTCGCCTTGCTTTTGGGAAAGGTTCTTCCTGCAAAAGCTATTGATGGGGAAGAGAGCCTTTGGACTGTGTGCTTGTGCACATTCAAACTTATTGTGCTGGCTTTCCTTGTTTGTGTGTTAGGAATCTCTCTCTTTAGCTGAGGGCATGCTTTGATTGTGTGCAAGATTTTTTGTAATCCATGATGTCTTTTGCCCTCCCTCCCCAATGGTCTTAAGTGTAACTTGGTGTCTGCTTCAATGAGATGCCAGTGTCCCTCATTCCTGTAAGGTTTCTTTGTCTTGTGTGTATAATCAGCCATGTCATTATGTTTTCTATCTAATTCCATAACTGCCACTGCAGTTTACAGTTATCAGATATATACTCTGGTGTTCTTAGGCCCTGATGGCTTTTCCTGTCGTTTCTGTCATGTGGCCTGCATGGTCTAGGGATCCTTCTATCAGCAGGTAAGAAATCTCGGTAATCTGAATTCCTGTTTGAGTTAAAAGGTTAAAACTTAAACATGATTAATTTGGATTACAGTACATATTAGGAAATTTGGATAACCAAAAACCAAATTACCAAGCTGTTAAAGTACTGTAGTTGCCATTAATTGACTGCTGGGCATTTTTTTATTTGGTGAAAATCTTTAGAAACAGCTGGAGTTTCACAAAGTTTGGCCTGAGGATGCTGGCTTTGACAGGTATGGAGTTTGCAGAGGTGGCATGGGGGGCTGCCCCTCCTCGGGATGTGATAAAAGCTAGGGGACATTATCTCTTTGATTAATTTCCTTGTGTTTTGAGACTGGTCTTCTAGGACTCTTGGGGGGGGCTTTCCTGGATGCCACCTTGTCTGTTTCCTCTAGAGAGAGACTAGTTCCAATGAGGAGGTAGGCCCCCACTGTGATCTGTGAAGTTCACGGGACATTGGGGTTGTCAGAGGGGGGATCCATGGTGGCCTTTTGTCCCACTTCTGGATTTAGTTCCTCCCCTCTAAGAGTTTGTAGCTCTGTACTAGCAAGTTATCTTATCTGCTTTTCCAATATGAGTTGGCCTCCTCCCTCATTTTACTGTGGGTGTATTTTTGGGTCTGTGGCTTGAATTCACTCACCCCTGTATAGGTTGCTGTTGTTTCATCTTCCTTCAAGTATGCAATGGCCCAATTTCCATTGTTATCTTTTGTAAAATGTCTGAACTGAATTGATCCTCCTTTATTGTTCAATAAAGATGAATAAAATAATCAGGCAAAACAAAGACCAGGCCTCCGATGGTTGACGCCTGGTCGACGACCGGGCCGCGGAGATGCTAAGCCCCGAAATCATCTCAAGGTAACCTCCCTCAGTCAGGCATAGAAGGATATTAAAAGAATCAAAGACAAATGTGTGTGCCAAATATGTATCACACCTTCACTCTACACCAGCATTTCTCCACTGGGTGAGGCAGTTATATAAACACACATGCTAGATAACATCTGGCTTGATCTGTTTGGATGTGATTGCTGGTGGCAGTTATTATTCAGTTTATTTCACATTCTAGCCATTATCGGTACAGTGAAAACACACAAAAATAAGATCATAGTTAGAGCTACATCTATCTAGATCAAACTACACAAGATCTACATTAGTACATTGATCAGAAATTCTGTAGCTATTTAATGTTAGCGATATTTTGAAACATGGAGAAGCGAGCAAATCCACAAGGGCCGTGACAAGGGTTCGAACCTACGTTCGAGAGCATCATCACGGCCCTTGTGGATTTGTTCATTTGATGCATCACGCTATTGTGATTTCTGTGTGTAACGGAGAAGTGAGATTTGTCTGGAGCGTTTGTCCCTTATATTTTTCCTCTGAAGTAAAGGCTCCCTTCTTACCTATTTTCTTTACTTTTTATATTTTATTACTCTTGATTTCTGTGTTAGAACTTCCTCCTCCTACAGATAATTTTAGCATCTACTTGATCCAGTGTGTAATATGGCTTGTACAGTATTCAGTAGCAGTATTATTATTATATAAGTGCACAAACTCAACTGCAAGTGAAATGGGAGTGCACAACTCTATTCTTAAGATAATTTCAATTAAAAAAAACTTGATTTTACAAAACCATGCAAAATTAAATTCAACTGTGATAATCTTGGGGCCTCGTAGCCTGGTGGATAGCGAGCAGGACTCGTAATTCTGTGGCGCGGGTTCGATTCCCGCACGAGGCAGAAACAAATGGGCAAAGTTTCTTTCACCCTGAATGCCCCTGTTACCTAGCAGTAAATAGGTACCTGGGTGTTAGTCAGCTGTCACGGGCTGCTTTCTGGGGGTGGAGGCCTGGTCGAGGACCGGGCCGCGGGGACACTAAAGCCCCGAAATCATCTCAAGATAACCTCAAGATCTATTAAACAGTGTTTAGTAATAGTAATTATTAACTAGAAAAAAGTCAGAGATTAGTTTTAATTTCTATGGCTAAAATTGCTATTTTATTTTTCCAGATTTATGGTGAATCTCTCCGTCCTGATGTGCCTTATAAGACGCTACTCCTGTCTATCCGAGATAATGCTCTCAGTGTGGTGGGAGAAATGTTAGATAAATATGGCCTTTATAAAGAAGATCCCAATAATTATTGTCTGGTGCAGGTTAGTGTAATAGTTCTTGGATAGGATGACCAAACCACACACCAGGAGGTGAAGAAACAACGTTTTAATCCATCATGAACCATTATCAAGTCGAATGTAATACGACTTGATAAAACGTATCAAGTCACAGTCGTCTTGATATGACATTGTTTCTTCATCTTCTGGTGTGTGGTTGGTTCATCATATCTTCAGCTACGTTATTGTGACTCATCGTCTGCTGTTCTTGGATACTTTTAGTAAAATTTGTATTCATATTTATGCTGCTATAATTTCTTTACATTTATATTACCGTATTGCATTTTATTATGCATCTGTCTATTGAACCGAGCAAGCCACCCCAAACCCAGGAAAGAGGGGACAGAAAAGAGGGCCCAGAAGCAACCATGGAATATAACAACTGGGCTGTAGAATGGTATCAAAAAAAGATGGAGAGGGGTAGGGGGGCATCCAGTGGCACCTCTGGTTGATACCTGGTTGATACCTGGTTGATGGGGTTCTGGGAGTTCTTCTACTCCCCTCTGCCGTGCATCTTTGTACACAAATCCTGTGATCAGTGAAGATGGAAATCTGAAAGACAACTTCCCCAAGGTGGCAAAGGAGGGGAACTTTGGAAGGGTAAAGAGATTCAAACATGTGGATCTATTTCCAGAACCCCTTTGTGTTTGAATGTCAGAATAGGAAATGAAAAAAAAAGGGCCATGAGGGTGATGAATTTCTACGGCCTGTGATTAATTTTGATCACTCTGTGATGCAGTTTTGAAATGCATTCTTTAGTACACAGGACCAGAGCCCTGAGATTAGCAGAGGAGCTCTGAATTGGAATGCTTAGAAGTCAAGAAAAAACAGCATAAAACTGCCACTGGACACAGAACATCATGAACTATAACATATGCAATTTTGGATGACAACATTCAAATAGTATGATGGTTTTTTATGACTATTTAAAATGGTTAGGTTACAGCAGTCGGATGACGTGTTCTGATAGGTTAAGATGAGGATGCTTGTGTAGGACGTAGTGCTGAATGTAACCTGAAGCAGAAAGCTCGTGTGAGGCCTGGAGCAGAGAGCAGAGAGCTTGAGCAAGGCTGGGGATGGAGTGCTTGAATGGGGGCAAGAGTAGAGAGCTCAGGTGAGAGAGGGTGAGAGCAGGTAGCTTGAATAAGACTTGGATTTGCCTGTCTGCTCTATAGTGAGGCTTGTAGTGTCTGGTGTGAGGATTGGAATTAGACTGACAATGCTGTATTCTTGATTGCGTTTTGTGTCCACCTGATCTTGTGTTTGACAGCTTGCTCTTCACTTGGCAAGTCGATCATCATTTGACCGGATGGAAAGCTCGTTAGTTACTTTTAGATGTCGTAAGGGATTCATGGAAATCTTGGTAAACATGTATAATATAATTACAGATGTCATAAATGGTTAGTGAATATGATTCCAGGTGTCATTAGTGATTATGTATGGGGATAAGTAGCTAGCACTTTAAAGATAATGTGGTTTGCTACAAACTTGACATACAAACCAAACCCTCGCCAAATATTGCCCATGAAAATACATTCTCCTTGAATGAAGATGAATATATGAATGAAGAATTAGAAAGGAGATACAAAATATCTCCATGACCAAAACTAAGGAAGTCAAATGTCCAAATGAGAGCACTAGATTCATTGACACAGCCCATAGCAAGAGCTTAAAGAAATAAAAACATTGAAGTATTAATTAAATTTTGAATGTATTCACAAATGAGAAGGCCCTGACTCTATCAGGGCTAAGAAAGTTTAACATCTTGTTAGAAGACCAGGCAGGCCGTCACTGAGGCATGGGAAAGATGGATATAGAAGGTGGCTCTACAGTGTATACTAAGTTTTAAGAATGGAGGACATATGAGATTGAAGAAAAGCAGTGTTGCAGTGTGTCTGCCAAAGCAGCTGAATAAGAAGAAATCATCATTTTCTATTTTTCCTTACTTTGGCTTTTGACTGATATTCAGCTTATGTCTAATTCAATAGCTTCATTTTGCCAGCTCTGCAAAATCCTTGCATCTCGACTTTGGTTTACATCTCTCTCTAGCTGTCATTTTTGACAATTTGATAATTTTTACTTCAACACTCATTCTTCCGATGCATTGTTGGAGTTTGCCTGGTCAAACCTTTCTTCATCAATTTGTATGTTTCTTCTTTGTTTGAGAATCCTAAGCTTTTGAGTTTTTCTGTTGATCCTTGTCACCGGTTATTGGGCTAGTGACATCTTGTTTCCATCACTTTTTTTTGTAATACTTGCTCACTGATGCCTTATATTTAAGGGTGTGTTCTAAGCTGCTTTTCTGAGTGGTTGACCTAATTCTTGTTGGGCCAGTGTAGGTAGGTTTACTGGTTTGCTCTGACATTGCAGGATCTGGTCCAAAGGGATCAGAAAGAAGCTTGCTTTATGGTGCAACGAAGTCATGCTCAGAAAGGTGCTTTTTCATATGTACTCAAAGCATTGTACTTTATATAATAAAATGATCATGTCTTGGAGTAGTGTGTGTATGGAAGAAATAAATTTGGGACTGCATTTCAAGTAGCAATTACCAAAAGAACTGAAGAGGAAGATCAGGCGTAGAGTAAACAAAAAGTGTGAAGTATCTTGCGAGGTGTTAAGATAATCTTGTGCTGAAACAACTCGTCCACTTTTATAACAGAAAAAAGTAAATGATTTTGGATAAAAGCATGAAACTATTTAATTACAATAAACATTAAACTAATGCACAAAACTAATGTCTTGAAATACTACAGGAAATGCACTAGCGTCAATCTGAAATTTATAATCTCTCTTGTGCACTTTATTTAAAATGGGGGTTGATGAATACTATATGTAGAAAACAGTCCGATGATCACAATATTCAGGTACTGTACTCTAGTATTTAACGCCAACAAGATCTCTTTCAAGCATACCATAAGGATTTTACAAGTCTGACTTACATCCTTATGTAATCATTTATTGATAAATTTAGAAAATTTTAAACACTCGTTGTTGAGTATATGTTTTGTAGGTAATTGTTGTTTGGCTTACATTTACAGACTGTCATAGGCATTGAAGATGGCTATGGAGGACCTACATCCCCACTTAAAGAATATATCCTTGATGATGACGAGTGTCCACTGGCTATTCTTATGAATCATCCACCTTCCAGAGGTAAGTACATTTTATGTTGATGTTCAATATGTTGTTTATTTTATACTAATGTTCATCAGACAGAAATACAAAATAAATAAAGAAAATAGTGTGCAGAAGGAAAGTACTCTGAGAATAGTGTGTGGATAGTGTGAGAATAGTGTGTAGTAACAGTTAAAACTTATGCATGGATAAAGGACTGTTAAGTATGAACGATCTATGTTTAATGTTGATGCTTTGTTCCCTGTGGGAGCTATCACCTCTAGAGAAAATGAATTTTAGTATTTTCAGAAGGCATAAGGTTTTCCTTATGTTTTCCCACAGTAGGAGTCGGGAAGCCTGGCCTCAGGCCGGACTCGGGGCGGGGAGTAGAAAAAAGTTTTGTATCTTTGTTACAACATATTCTATAGGTTGTAACAAAGGAGTACTGGGATTGCATACTTTGCTGTACCTATACTACAGTGCTGTATATACATTTTACATTTTAATGTAGGCTACTGATTGGTTGCTTTTGCCTAACTCCAACAATGACAAGATCCATCAGAAAATAAGTGCAAGCTTCCAGAGCGTATACATGACTGAGCCCAAGCGGTTATCGGTGTCAGTTAGGACTGGCTTAGGTTATGTGATTTGTTGGTAACCTTGTTGTCTGTAAATTCTGTTCTTATTTTTGTGAGAATAGTATACTATAGTTACTTTGCATCATTGTCATCACTTTGTGCTCTCATCAGCAAACCTAAGTTAACTTTTATTATGTACAAAAATGCACTTAAATATATGGTGAATATTTGTCACAAGGCCTGTTTTTGTTTCAATATGTTCAATATTGCTTAAGTTCAGTAGTGCAATAATGTGCTTTCTCCATTTTGTTGTGTAAGATGGAACAGGTGGAGAAAGGATAAAATTATGGTACATGATATGTTGCCTTAAAGATTGATGACTTGAAGGAACATGATTTGTAACATTGCAACATTGCCCCTTGGTTACCTTGAGATGATTTCAGGGCTTAGCGTCCCCGTGGCCCGGTCCTCGACCAGGCCTCTCGTTGCTGGACTGGTCAACCAGGCTGTTGGACACAGCTGCTCGCAGCCTGACATATGAGTCACAGCCTGGTTGATCAAGTATTCTTTGGAGGTGCTTATCAAGTTCTCTCTTGAACACTGTGAGGGGGTCAGCCAGTTATGTCTGTTATGTGTAGTGGAAGTGTGTTGAACAGTCTCGGGTCTCTGATGTTGATAGAGTTCTCTCCCAGACTACCTGTTGCACCTCTGCTTTTCAATGGGGGTATTCTGTACATCCTTCCATGCCTTCTGGTCTCATGTGGTGTTATTTCTGTGTGCAGGTTTGGTACTAGCCCCTCTAATACTTTCCATGTGTAAATTATGTATCTATCTCTCCTGTCTGCGCTCAAGAGAATACAGATTTAGGCTGCTACTGGTTGAGACTGTGATTTAGGCAGGTGCTGGTTGGTTGCTATTTCTGTATTTAAATGGGATTAAGCTTTATAGGCTCTAAAATAAACAAAGGAATACAATACAGTCAACGATTTATGAGGAGGGGTGGCAGGGCACGCTCGTGAGGGAGGTCTTGGTAATAAATAATTCATAGGTTGAGTTAGTCCACTCTGAAGCTCAGTGGAGCATTGATTGTAAGGTTCCAGCCTGAAGACAATACCTGAAAGGCCGTGAAGGAACTGACGTGTAAATTAAGGTCAGCTGAATAACAAACAACTTTATAACAAACTCCAAGTTGATCACTCTGACAACTTTGGTTCATTCCAAAGAATTACGTAAATTTGCCTAAATTTACCAGAAGACCACAATCTCTGGTGGCCTTGACAGGGACCTTAAGCCTTTGGCTTGTTAATTACATCATGGGAGTGGTTTGCATATTTTAAAGTTGTGAAAGCCATCTGTGCTGAGTAAAATCTAATTTTAATTTGGTGCTGAACATACTTGACTGTGAATAGCCCACAGGAACACAATCTTGAGAGATGTACATTACTGTATACAGAATAAATTAAAGTTCTCACCACATTCTCTTTCCTTTAGTTGCCAGAATGATTTTACCATCATTTTATGATTTATTTGAAGTGCAACCGTATCTTCTGTTGTATTTTTCTGTACTGTGACCAACTTACACTTTCTGGAAGATTACTTTTGGATGATACTCTGAAGAATGTCAAATGTAAAGCATAGGTCTAGACGGACTAACTCAATGGTGAAAGAAGTAGGGGAAAATAAGACAGCAGGAAAAGAAGGGTAAGAAGGCTGGACCGAGAGAACAAGAAAAATAAACCTACACACATTTGCCTCTACATACCAACAAAAGCTTCAGTTATATTTTTCTAGTGCCGCACATGGCGGGTCCTAAAACCATTGTCTTGGGCAACTAACGAGGCTGTGGCTAGTTTTTACCAACCTACTACAACACGTAACATTCAGCTCCCCTCATGGGATGTTTACACAACCTCTCAACCACTTTATCCCTCACGGAATAACATAAAAGTTGAATGAAAGAAAACTTGAGTTTGCTTTGCAGGTTGCATGTGAAGCGGAAGGATGCAAGTGTAAGAATCACTAATGAAGTGTAGTTGTACAATTAGGATCTTCCAGCTTTGATAGTCCGGCTCCTACTAGCTACAGTCAGACTGTTTCATAATAACTGAACTGGAAGTGGCTTTTTTGTTATTGTTGTTGTTGTTGTTGTTGTATTCCCGCAACACCCTCTTCTTGCCCCAGCTATTCCTTTGCTTCCAATTCTATTCCACCAGCCACCACCTTTTCACACCAAACACCAACTACTCCCTCTGCTAATCCCATTTCAACTTGCCATACTTTACACTTCTCTGCCACCTACTACACCTTCCTGCCACCCACTATACCCTCCTGGCACTCTTTATTTTCTCCTTCTATCACTCCTCACCATGCCATTCCCTTACCCCCCCCACCCCTGCCATTCTCTTCTCCCCTCCCCCCCCCTGCCATTCTCTTCTCCCCTCCCCCCCCCTGCCATTCTCTTCTCCCCTCCCCCCCCCTGCCATTCTCTTCTCCCCTCTCCCCCTGCCGTTCCCTTCTCCCTCCCCCCCCCTGCCATTCCCTTCTCCCCCCCCCCCTCCCTACCATACCACCCCTGGTGCCAGGGTTCACGAGGGTTGAGAGAATTTTGAATCTGGAAATGTGGTCGTGTTGGGTATTGCCTCCTTACTTCTAGTGCTTCTTTAATTAACTTTATCCCTTTCATAGATTTCTTTTGGGGTGGGGATATTAGTGTGCTTTTTAAATTACTTTTCGTAGATAATTTTTGTAGTGTGATATGTTCCTTTTCAGAGTAAATTGGTTTAAATATCTTATTCAATTGACTAAAATTGAAAATGCCTTTTTGCAAAATAACAAATAAAAGTTAAAACTGGCGAGTGGTACACAATGGCAACAGTTGTATTTGTTAGTTTTGCATGTTTTCAATTCATTATCTCGAATATTTATCATCTTGGAGACTACAATACATATGTATGAGCATGAATGTATTCTGTGTGATATTAGGCTGTATAGCTCCTGAAAGCCATTGTTTATGATAGCAGGACCACTACTTTTTTTTTAATTGAAAATGAAACTCGGCATAAAACATCCCAAGAGTCTCTCTGCTGTAGGGTCCTCCTTTACCTATACGTGTTAAAAAAAAACCACTTCATTCACTCCCGTGAATATCCTTATGCTGCACCCAAAGTTTGCCATTGCAGACATGACTGTATGACTGACCATCCTGCAAAATGAGGATTTTGTTGACATGTAGCTAGCTGTTAACACACTACAAAACTCTTCATATAGTCTAGGGCAGCATCTTAAATGCAGATTACCTAAATATGATAATAAAATTCTCACCCGTATGAATCGAAGCAACGCACCTAACCTACCTATCGAGGTTGATGTTAAATTCACTGATACTGTATTACATTGCTTTGGTTTGTACCAACGCGTCCCATATTTAACGGATTAATAAATTCCGTAAATAATATTTTATATAATATAATATAAAAATATTATATTTTATAATATATATATATATATATATATATATATTATAAAGATACTTGCAGATTGTAATATAAAATAAGAGCGCCCCTGTAATTGTTGAGCTTGCAGCCTCAAGTTTTGAAGACCCAGGAGGCTGCTGACTGTGTAAGTGCGCCAAGTTGGACGGCATTTCTTACCCCAAAACTTGTCACTCCAGGAAATAGCTCTTGGGACTATAAACTTGTAAGTGCCTGCAGGCATTTTATTATGAGCAAGATAAATATTTGCAGAGTTTTAAATGCTTTGCAATCCGGTGGCTCCTCTAGTTGGCTTGACTGGTTACCTGGCTTGGCTGGCTTGGCAGGCTGGCTGGCTGGCTGGCTGGACTGTGTGGCTTTGTTGGCTGGCTGGTTGAAATGGCTGGCTGGTTGAAATGGCTGGCTGGTTGATATGGCTGGCTGGTTGATATGGCTGGCTGGTTGATATGGCTGAATGGCCTGCACCAGCTAGTGATTGTAATGATCATTTTCGTCAGGATCTGATCAGGTCTCTTGGTTGAAGGCCAAATCAGCCAGACTTTCAGCCAAGCATTCAGTCAGACTTCTTATAAGAAATGTTTGTGGTAAATTTGTAGAGCCTCATGTGAGAGTGAGCGAGCTAAGCTTAATGTTTTTCTGTTTCATCGTCTGGTGTTTTAAGTTGGTGTTGTGATGGACATAATTGTGATGGGAGAGGATGGTGAGGGTAGCTACGACAGCTGCTGCTAGTGTTCGGTCTCTCTGGTAGGGATTCCTTATAAATTTGTAATATTTATGTCTTCATGCACATGCTTCACATGAGCCGGTCGGCCGATTGGACAGCACGCGGGACTTGTGATCTTGTGGTCCTGGGTTCGATCCCAGGCGCTGGCGAGAAACAATGGGCAGAGTTTCTTTCATCCTATGCCCCTGTTACCTAGCAGTAAATTAGGTACCTGGGTGTTAGTCAGCTGTCACGGGCTGCTTCCTG